TCTGCTGGTTCTAGGACTCCATTATTAAATGAGCATAGCCAATCTACTCAATGTTGTATGTAAGACATAAAATAATGTGATTTTTCTCTAACAACTTCCAAAAGAATGCTGGAAAGCCTTAAAGTCATCAGTAGTAGAAGGTACAGTGGAGTTAAAAGCCTTATATGGGGAAGAGGATGAAATCACCACAGGAACCTTAAGGTCTGCTTCTTCTCTTTCCTGGTCTTCCTCACTTTGACCCTCTTCACATATAGATCTTTTCACTCTGCAGGTTAAGGCACTAATAATGCCCTAGGAGACCTAAAAGGGGAAGGATATCTGTGATGTGATGGTCTCTGGATAACTGAAGTCTAGACAATTGAGTCAGAGGATTTCAAGGTGGTGAATAAGGGTAGGCTTGCAAACTGTGTGGATAAGGCATATGAGAAGAGTATGACCTATATTAGTTGTATGTCTGTCTTTTATGCAGGCTAGGTAAGTAAGTGTCTCTTAGCCTTCCTTTCAGATTCCCATTCTGATATGAATATAGGTGACATGGAGCTGTACTTGGGAAATGTCTCCCTTCAAGGAATAGATGGGAAGGAAAAATAGGAATAATCTTAAACAGTGAAGCTACCTTATCAGGTATTAACAGATGCTGAGAAAACCAGAGTGCCCTTCTAAATGTCAAAGGGGAGCTGGGGACTCTAGTGGAGCTTGGTGGATGGAGACTTAATTTAGGTAGCTTGGGTTCTGATACTAGTACAGTAGATGCTCATTGGTAGCAACATATTGGGGGGGCCTTTTGCTATGTGGTTCCTAAGCCACATGGGGATCGTTGTTAATTCACAGTAGGGAAAGTGTTCCCAGGGGAAATGTTGCTCGTAAGAGGCAGTTGCTCTTACTAGGTGTTGCCGCAAACAAGCGTCTACTGTAGCGCTCAATTGAGAAATACTGCTAGTGCCAGGTTAAGTAAAGGAAAATCTGGCTCTGGGGTAATGGTAAGGTCCCAGGATGATGTAAAGACAGATGGCATTGAGCAGGACATTACTGAATGTATCAGTGCCACAGGTAACAACATGAAAGGTACCAGTGCCGAGGAAGGTTCTTGTGCTGAAGAATGGTTGGTAACCAAAACTGGTGCTGGAGATGCTTGGTGTACAGTCTATGTCAAAGATTTACCAGTGCCAGAGGAACCCAACCTCAGTCAGTCAGATTTCAAAGGACAGAGTCCTAACAGTTTCTCATAGGGTGACTGTTCTATCTCATTTCCCTTGATATGAAGGATGGCACTGAGACACCACCTCAGAGATTACAGACTGATCCCTGGAGGCCTGAACAGAGTAATGACCCTAAAATGAAGAGATCGGAGGCCCGTTGCCAGGTACTGAGAGCAGAGTCCCAGCTCACCAGACCACTGGCAGAATAGGACTTATGAAAAGAGTGTCCCTTGTATGACTCACTGCTCTCCAAATCCATGGCACCCTTGATCAAATACTCGAAGAGGAACAACCTGTGATTGGTGTCCCTCTATTTCTGTGTTTGTTTGGAAAAGGATCTGCAAATGAAGCAGCGATATAAAATGTAACTATTACCAAGACAAAATAGGCATTTGGTGCTCCTCATTCGAACCCTGGGGACTATAGCTGATCCATGAGGCAGAGGCGCCTTGATACTAAGAAGGCTCTTGGTTCAACAAATGTATTTTTATTTTATTTTTTCCCAACAGCCTAAAATTGGATGGGTAGCATAATTGACAAAGATATTCAACCCTGCTATCAGATGCAGAAGTATGTGTGGCACAATATTTTGCATTGTTTCTTGGCTATTCTGTTGTATTTAGGTGAGAGATGTTTAGTTTTGAAAGATGCAGGTGAGAAAGTAGACAGTCCTTTAACTGTAATTTTTTGCATTTACCTGAAAGGCTTGCAAAGGATGACAGCATGTTGCAAGATCATGTGCAAGATATTAAGCTGGTACTGTAACGGTGACATATTTATCAAATCAAATTCAAAATGAATTTATTGGGTAAGATCACAAGAAAAGTACGGCAGACTATTTTTGACAAGATTACAAAAGCTACGTACTTCTGTCTGATTACATCCAGACATCTCCCAAATGAAACAAATGTCTCAGGTGTTAAGGTATGCTGAGGTCTTGAAAAGCAGAGAGAAGGTTGTTGAGAGCTTTATAGATTTCACTGATATCCATAGGGGCTGCTTCCATGGGTGCTCTGGAGCTCAAGCACCCATGGAAAAAAAAAGTGGTGCTCAGCACCCACCAGCCACAGCTGTTCAGCTATTTGGCAGCTGGCAGGAGGTGCTCAGGGGATGGAGGAGAGCAGAAAGTGCCAGGCGGGCAGGAGGGAGGTTTCAGGGGAAGGGCCTTTGGGGAGGGAGCAGAGCGGGAAGAGGCAAAGCAAGGGTGGGGTTTGGAGAAACGGGTGGAGCACCCACTGGGAAAAATAAAATCAACTCCTGTGATATCCACACCAAAACCAGGGAGGATATTATGGAGGTTATTTTAGAGAAGATGAAAAAAGACGGTTTGGACATGGCTCACTGCAGGGGACAAAGCTATGACAATTGGGATAACATGCCTGCATGATACAAAAGGTGTTCAAAATCAAATTGAACAGGTAAATCAGCACACATCTTTTGTCCCATGTGCTGCCCACACACTGAATCTTGTTGGAGAAGCTGCTGCAATGGTTGTTCCAAATTGTTCTACTTTTTGGAATTGTTCAAAGGTTGTATACCCTGTTTTCCACTTCTACCAATCATTAGGGTGTGTTGAAAAAGTAAATTTGTATTTACATTAAAATGCCTAGGCACAATAAGATGGTCTGCAAGGATAGAAATCAGGTTGAAGGTTTTTAACACTTTAGACAAGATAAAGGCTTCACACAATCATATGCCAGAATTTATGCTGAAAGCAGATAGCTTGCAAATGAACATTTCAGAGTTTGAATTTCTTGTTTTGGATGAGATATGGTAGCTATCTCATAAAAAAAATTAATGTTGTGAGCAAAAAATTGCAGAGTCCAGTTCTTGACAATCAAACAGCTTGCAGTTTACTTGGTCGCCTTTGAGATATTTTATCAGAATTAGTCTTCTGGGTTCATTGCCAGTAAGGAAGCTACTGCTTCACAGGCTGAAACATCAAGAATATCCACACAGTCCAAAGAAAAACCATCTCAGACAAGGGAAGTAATGCAAAGCAAACTTGCAAAAGACAAAAGGTCACCCAATCCTGAAAGTTTCTGAACACAAGGTTTTCAACCCCATCTCAAACACAATATTATCACAACTGGACAAGAGGATGTGTAAGAGTGAAAGATTTTCTTTTTTAATGGACAAGCAGCAAAGATCTAAAGAGGCATGCTTAAAACACAGCAAGCTGCTGCCCTAAGGATTTAAATTCTGAAAGCAGAAAGCATGAGATTGAGCTCTTAGCTACATTCATGAAAGGCTTTTAAATGAAAGTTTCCCAAAAGAGGGAAACAGCACCGCATATTTTTTGCCATCTTCCTATAACCATGGCTGCTAATAAAAGGAGTTTCAGCAAGCTAAAATTAATCAAGACCTACCTAAGAACATTCATGGGATAGGAAAGGCCAGACTATCTGTCAACTGGTTTCTATAGAAAATTAGGAAGCAAGGCATGAGATTGTTTGTTTGTTTCAGAGAAGTCTAGGAAAGTCTCTTCGTAAGAGTAAATTCTCAAATAAAAATTCTGCAACAGAAGACAAACACAGGGACAGATCCACAGCTGATGTACGCTGCATAGCTCTCTTGACTTCAATATTGATTTATGCCAGCTGAGAATCTGGCCCATAAATTCCACATACCAATAATATAAATTAAACAAGGTCTCATACATGGGCTCACTGAATTTATTTTGACACCATGCAAAGGATACACGGAAATGTAGTAAAAGTATTCTGTAGCAAACAGATGTAAATTATCAAGATTTCCAATAATTATTCAAATGGCTTTCAAAAAGATTAAAAAAATTAGGGAGGGATATTAACAATGTATGCAAATTTCTATTAGTGTAGGAATTTTTTTTTTTTTTTTTTTTTGCGGCTGGAGGTACGTGGGGCTCAGATTTGAGTCTTCAAACCAGGCAGAGGCAGAACATCTGGCACACGACACTACCTGAGGACCGAAATGCTTTCGTTAAACTAAAGACATTGGGGTCAGCATAAGAGTGTTAGGGCATTAAATTCCACGCAATGATATGCAGGTCAGATTAGATGATCCCTTCTGGCCCTCAATGCTATGTAACTATGGAAGTTCCATCTCCCTGCCATGGGTGGTAAGAAGAAACTGAGGGCTGCTCTGTCTTTTATGCCCTCCAAAGAAAGGTACAAGGTAGCGCAAAGCACGGGTGAGGCCTCAACCAAAGCTGCTGGCCAAGAAAATTCAACCTCACGTGCATGAAGCAGAGGCACAACAGAAGCAGAATCCATATGGATAAATACTCGAACACTGCAATTTTAGGTGTTGCTAATATTTACTTTTGTGCACTCCAGTGTTTCTCAATCATTGGGGTTGTGACCTGACAGCCCCTCCCCCCAGTGAGATCAAAAAAGGTAATGGAACTTTTCATTATAATTCTAAAACAAGAAAATAAAATTTCCAGAATAACTTTAGGTGGCCAAAACCTTAAGTTTGTGAGGTCAAATGTATTAGTAAAAGTTGCATTATATGATCTTACTGTTACAAGGTATGTTTTTACTTTAAAAGGTAAAGAGTTATGAAAATTATTGATTTCAAAAAAGGGGCCACCACCCTAAAAAAGATTTAAAAGCACTGCGTGCATTCAAATAATAATTCCTCAACAGAAGACATAGGGACAGATCTTCAGCTAATGTAAACTGCATAGATCCATTGACTTCAATATTCATTTATGCCAGCTGAGGATCTGGCCCATAAATTCCACATAGCGATAATATAATCAATTTCCCACAGATTAGCTCACTGAATTTATTTATTATCACACCGAACAAAGGATACATGGAAATATAGTCAAGCGTTCTGTAGCAAATGGATGTAAATTATCAAGATTTCCAATGATTACTCGAATGGCTTCCTGAAAGATTAAAAAATTAGGGAGGAATATTAAATATTAACAGTATATGCAAATTTCTACTGTTGAAGTAATTTTAACTAGGGCTTCCAGCGTGGGAACATTTTTGTTTTAAGAGTCTGTTGGTCAATATCACTGGTCACAGGTTCCTGAAGATGCCCCAAAGCCCGTTAGACCTGCAGGATAAGCAGCTGATATACACAGAATAGAGCAACCAGTTCCTGAACAAAGGGTAAAACAACTGAGATTCCACCCCAAAAAAGGCCCAGAATCTGAGGTGGGTTCACTGAGAGACCAGAAAGGGAAGAGAGGTGCAGCTAGCTCCATGAACATGACAATTTCCATTTTTTAGATTTGGTATTTATTAGGTGTATTTCTATATTTAAGGTGGAACCTTAAAATTTTGCATTTACAGGCTCACATTTGTGGTTTGGATGAAAACTACAGTATCTTAAGTTTCTTAACTGGTGATATTTATTGTCAACCTCAATCTGCAGATCAAAAAAGTGTTTTTCTCTGGGAATATTTCATTTGACAGAATACTATTACCCTGTAATGAATAAAATATATGAGGAGCACCCAGTGTAAAATTTAGATAACCTACCTCTAGTTCCTTGGTAGTAGTTTCATTATTGTCTATATCATTACAGCTGTGAAACAAACAAAAAATATATTTAGCCTCACAAAAGACAAGATGGAGCTTCAAGCACTGTAATTATTTCCATATTGATAAAATGTCAGAGGAATCTGACTTCACATGGAAAATATGAAGCAAGAGACAAATGAATTCTTAAAGTGAAAGAACAGTTATTTCCTCACACTAACTCTGGTTCTTTAAGATGCATTGTTCTTGAGAATTTCACTCTTGGTGTGACTGCACCCAATGCGCACAAGGTTGGCTTTTTTTTTTTTTTTTTTTGGCCACTAATGTCCACTGAGACAGCAACCCCTCCCCAACTGAGGGCATAAAATTCAGGGTGGGTCCAACCATTGCTCAATTCCTTTGCCAACACAGAATCTGAGAGGAGTAGGACTCCAAAGTAGCAGAGAAGGACGGGGGGGTGTCGTGGAACCCACATATTCAACATATATCAAAGAACCACAGTTACTGAAGGATAAATAATTGTTTGTTCTTCAAGTGAATGTCCGTCCACATGGATTCCACTCTTGGTGACTAACAGTTATCTGTTTGCTTGGAGGTAGGTGCTAGGAGTCCTACTTAAACAATGCCTGCAGGAGCGCCCTATCAAAGCAGGAACCCAATCTGGAAGCGTCTACCAAGGAATATTGTCTTGTAAAGGTGTGGACTGAAATACATGTAGCTACCCAGGAGATTTCAGACACAGGCATTTTTCAAACTGGCAACAGAAGCTACTTGTGCTCTAGTGGAATGAGCTCTAATGTGGCTAACCAGATCTATTCTGACTGGCTTGTAGCATGTTCTTATACAGGTGGAGACCCTCTTTGACAACCTCTGAGATAATACTGCTTGACTCTTAGCTCCATCAGCAAAGGCCACAAACAATCTAGGTGTGTTCCTGAATGATTCTGTCCTGATAAAGTTGCCTGACAATGCCCTTACTACATCAAGTGTATGAAGTTTAGTTTCCCTTATTGTTGAGTGAGTTTTGGGGAGAAAACTGGGAGATTGATGGATTAGTTCATTTGAAATGTTAAAACAACTTTGGACGAAAATTTGGGATGTGTCCCAAGCGTAACCCTGTCTTTACAAAACGCTGTATGAAGGGCCATGAGGGCCTGCATCTGCCCTACCATTCTAGCTGATGTAGTGGCTACTAGAAAGGCATTTATTGATAGGTGGTGTAGAAAGATGGTTAGGGAACATGTTGCTAAGGTCTCAAAGGGAGATTGTTTGATGTAAAGGGAAATTACTAGTATTGAGATGCTTAAATAGAATACCTCTTCCAGTTTAGCTTCATAAGTCAATCTGGTTCAGGGTTTCTTGTTTTGGAGCAGAATATTCCAAACTTCAGCTGAACAGCTTCTTTTAGTTTGTCATCCAGCCAGTATCCAGTCTTTCAATTATAAGGAAGCTGGGTCCTAATGCAAGATCCAACTGTTGTTCTGGGAGACTGTCAGGAAGAACTAGTAGGGTGATGGAGGGCTGTGTTAAAGGTTTGTCAGATCTCAATACCAGAACTAGTTGGCCTATATTGTGGTTATCACAATAGTCTATCCTGCATCTTGTCTCTATTTTGTCAGAATCTTCGGCATCATGGAGATCAGTGGAAAGGCATACACCAACCCTGATATCCAAGGAATGAAAAAAGCATTTATCAGGAAGCCTGGGCTTACACTCTCTCCAGAACAGAATGTTGACACTTCTTGTTCTGGTCTGTGGCACAAGTCTATTTCTGGGCATCCTCACTCGCAAAAGATGTTCTCTAGGTTTGATTGTTTGACAGAACACTCCTGGTTGTCTAAGCCTGGTGAGTTGATCAGCTTAGGTATTTATAAGGCAGAGAAGATGCAGAGCCAATGATGTGATTTCCTTTGGAATGTGCCTGTCATAAATATAAAGGGAAGGGTAAACACCTCTAAATCCCTCCTGGTCAGAGGAAAAACCCTTTCACCTGTTAAAGGGTTAAGAAGCTAGGATAACCTCGCTGGCACCTGACCAAAATGACCAATGAGACGACAAGATACTTTCAAAAGCTGGGGGGAGGGCGAAACAAAGGCTCTCTTGGTCTGTGTGTGGCTTTTGCCGGGACCAGAGCAGGAATGCAGCTCAGAACTCCTGTAAAGGACTAATAAGCAATCTAGTTAGATATGCATTAGATTCTGTTTTGTTTAAATGGCTGATAAAATAAGTGGTGCTGAATGGAATGTATATTCCTGTTTTTGTGTCTTTTTGTAACTTAAGGTTTTGCCTAGAGGGATTCTCTATGTTTTGAATCTGATTACCCTGTAAGGTATTTACCATCCTGATTTTACAGAGGTGATTCTTTTACTTTAATTAAAATTCTTCTTTTAAGAACCCGATTGCTTTTTCCTCGTTCTTAGTATCCAAGGGTTTGGGTCTGTGTTCACCTATGCAAATTGGTGAGGATTTTTGTCAAGTCTTCCCCAGGAAAGGGGGTGTTGGGTTTGGGAAGATTTTGGTGGGGAAAAACGTTTGCAAGCGGGCTCTTTCCCTGTTATATATTTGCTAGACGCTTGGTGGTGGCAGCAATAAAGTCCGGGGCAAAAGGTAAAATAGTTTGTACCTTGTAGAAGTTTTAACCTAAGCTGGTAAAAATAAGCTTAGGGGGGTTTTCATGCAGGTCCCCACATCTGTAGCCTAGAGTTCAGAGTGGGGAAGGAACCTTGACAGTGCCAATTCAATAGTCACATGGCTTCCTGAGAGAGTGGAGATGACCTTGCTAGCTGTGGTGTTGTCTGTCAGCACATGTGTTGCGGATTGCTGGAGAAGAGGCAGGAATCCTTTGCACGTCAGGCAGATGGCTCTGAACACTAGGACGTTTGCAAGCCTCTTCAGAGAGCCATAGTACTGAATTTGAAGGTAATCTAGATAAGACCTCCAGTCAGGGATGGGGGATCTGTTACCAGAACATTGGTAGGAAGAGGTGCGTACTTCAGGAGGAGTCTTTCCATTACTTTAATGAGGACAGAACTTTTTGTGGGACCATGACCAATATGTCCATGTGCTGCTTGCTGAGTAGATACACTGATTTCAGCCACCCTTCCATAGAGCACAGGAGAAAAAAGCCAAACAGCATCACCTAGGTGCATGAGACCATAGGTCCCAAAAGCCTGAATCATATTCTCACTAATGTTCTTGGGTGATCATGAAGTTGTTTGATAACTCAAATGAAAATGATCTTGAATGCTTATGGATCAATCACTTAACAGATAAAGTACAAGATAGGATATTAGTTAGTATCTTCTACAAACCACCAAATCACACTAGGGAATAGGTTAACTACCTCATTATTCACCTATATGTAGTTTGTAAGGGGGGGGGGGAAGCAGTGTGATAGTGAGGGAACTTCAGTTGGAGGTCTTGTTTTTCCAGTACTAAAAACATACTTGGACTTTCTAAACATTATAGATAACAATTTCCTAATTCAAAACATGTTGCAGCCAACACAAGTGAATTCTTTATTAGACCTTGTCCTAACAGACAAAGAGGAACTAATCAGAGAACTAAAAATTAATAGTAGCTTAGGTACAAGTGATCATGATTTGATCAAATTTACCATGGGCAAGCAGAATAAAATCCAAACCAGTAATACATATACTTGCTGCTTTAATAAGACCAATTTCACAAAGCTGAAAACAATTACAAGCCATATCAGGTTGGAGGAAGAATTTAATCTTAAACATTTGAATGGTAATTGCAAATCATTTAAGAACACCTTACTAGATGCCCAAAAAGCCATATCATCACAACTGAGGAAGAATGCCCTGCTGGCTAAAAAAAAACAACCTGGTTTAGAATGGAAGTGAAAGCAGATATAAATAAATTATTTAGAAGGGAAGTGAAAAAAAGAGGGAAGTTGATGGTAATGAATATAAACCAGAAATCAGGAATTATAGAAAATTGATAAGGGAAGCCAAGGAACACAAGGCCAAATATATGACCAGCAGAATTAAGGCACCTGGTGCTGAGGGGTCAGTACCAAGAGAAGCATGATCCGCAGATATAGTGACACCACTTGTGTTTTTAGTGGTTTGCATCAGGACACCAGAAGAGGCCTTTTCAGTCTTCTGGCCCTTGGAAGGTTGAACCTGAGACAAGTTAGAAGTCGGATGATTCTTGTGTCTCAGCTTTCTAGGTGCCAGAGACCATAATCTATTCCTTCACTCATCCTTAGAATGGTGCTTCTTTCTACCCTTGTCAGAAGACAGATGCTTGAATAATGGTAGATGAACTTTAACTAGAGTGCCCCAGGAGCTCAGGAGGGGGTCTTGGCTCATCAGGCACTAACAGAAAGAGACTGACCAAGCTTGCATTGATCTCTCAAGGAGGAAAACCTTCAGGTGGGCTTCTTTAACTCTCAGTGCTCTCAGAAACAAACAGCTCATAGCTCATGGACATGTCCCTCTCCAAGGTAGAGTAGGCACTGGCGGTGCCACTTAATAGGCATCAAAGCATCACATAAGGGACTGGTCTTGAATCCTGGAGATGTAGTTTCTGCCATGCTGCTAGATTGCATGCTGGAGGATAGGGGTCTAGTCTTACTGAAATGTAAACGATGCAAATTCCTATATTTATATAGTTAATTGGCTAAACAAAATAAATAAACTGATTAACAATAATCCTAAATAACCCCAGCACCAACCATAGTGAAAAGGCAGGCATCTCACGGTCATGGGTGGTAAGGAGGAACTGAGCAATGCTTGGGCCTGCTCTCCCCTTTATGTCTTGGGGGAGGGTCAAAAGACGTACATGGCACAGTTGCAACTGAAACAGACACTGCTGGCCAACAGAATCTGATTTTGCATGCATGGGGCACATGCCCATGTGCATAATCACTTGAACAGAAAAACTTTATAAATAAAATACATTTTTAAAATCCCAATTCAGAAAGGGCCAGATCCAAAGACCTTTGACTGAAATGGAAAGACGTATTAACCTGAGTGTACTTTGGATCAGGCCCTAAAAGGAAAGATACTGATTTCTCCTCCTTGCTGCTTAGGTGACAGCAGTGGAAGCACTGAGAGTATAAGAGCCAGTCTCATTGTTCTCAGTTCCAGTGCCTGGCACTACAACATCTGTCAGTTGAGAGGAGCAATTACAGAAAGAGTCTTTCTCGGCCCCTGCAGCCCCAGAATGAGGCATGCTGTTGCTCTATGGGGATGGCACTGAACTGATTTAGTCAGCACATAATGCTATGAGGAGATGGAGCACATGTAGTGCAAATGGAATCTCCTGTGGAATAGGGCTGTCAATATAGCAAGCAAACCTTTAAGCATGTAACAATAGATTTTCAAAGGCTTGTAACTTAATCATAGAATATCAGGGTTGAAGGGACCTCAGGAGGTCATCTAGTCCAACCCCCTGCTCAAAGCAGGACCAATCCCCAATTAAATCATCCCAGCCAGGGCTTTGTCAAGCTTGACCTTAAACTTCTAAGGAAGAAAAGGAGTACTTGTGGCACCTTAGAGACTAACCAATTTATTTGAGCATGAGCTTTCGTGAGCTACAGCTCACTTCATCGGATGCATACCGTGGAAACTGCAGCAGACTTTATATACACACAGAGGATATGAAACAATACCTCCTCCCACCCCACTGTCCTGCTGGTAATAGCTTATCTAAAGTGATCATCAAGTTGGGCCATTTCCAGCACAAATCCAGGTTTTCTCACCCTCCACCCCCCCACACACAAATTCACTCTCCTGCTGGTAATAGCCCATCCAAAGTGACAACTCTCTACACAATGTGCATGATAATCAAGTTGGGCCATTTCCTGCACAAATCCAGGTTCTCTCACCCCCTCACCCCCCTCCAAAAAACACACACACAAACTCACTATCCTGCTGGTAATAGCTCATTATTTCATTTCATTTCATCATTTCATCATTCCTTATAATGAAAAGTGTTAGGCAATCTTTATTACAGGAATAGGTACGAGCTCCACCAATAATAACAACAGGGCAGTGTGCTCAACTCTTCTGGAAAAGAGAGCAGGAGGACCATTTCATAGTCTCAGGTGACTCCCTCTGGCCAATGCTCAGTCTGGTGTTAATGAACTTTGAAGATGAAATATCCAGTCCTACATGACCAAAAATAGAACTGTTGCAGTTTGCAACCTTCAGAAATGGGGCTAGTGCTTAGTAAATGAAGAATCTTCCAAAATCCTCATTTTGAGATAGCAGTACAATACATTCATACTGTGGCTTCATGCTGTTGTGGGCTGAAAGTATGGGTTTGGTTCATACCTAGGAGTAAGAAACTTGCTTACCTGAGGAAGTTGCCATATCTGATTTTAAGTTTATATACACTTCGGCCTGCATGAAGAAACCTTGTTTCAGGTACTGGATATGTAAAAGGTTTTAAAAACATCTTTTTCAGAATACCAACCTAGGTAAGCAAGAGAAATCAGATGGTAAGATTAAATCGATCCCAATCAATGTCTGTATCTTTCAAAATAGAAGAGAAGAATACACACAACTTTTATTCTAGAGCAAGTTTACAGTGTCAGACCTGTACCCCGGATCTCTCTTAAACCTAACCCAATAATTCTGCACATTTTGCTACTAACTGAGGATTTAATTGCTGAGAGTAGTAAAAGTCATAGTAAAGGGGACATTTGCTGTATGTGTAAGATGAAAACAATTTAGAGCTACCACAACTGACTGTTGAAAGAAAAAAAAACTTCCTCTTAGAGTTTAGTCTTGTTTTTCTATCATTACTGACCGCACACACAAAATGAACTACTGTATTTAAAAATACTAAATTTAGGTAGCCACATTACAGTACTTTCATAGCTATTCAAAAAACTCGGAGGCTTTTTGCCCCACCATAAATCTGTAGCCAACTTCTACTGCTTAGTTATTATTAAGTGGAACTGACATGCTGGATTTAATTCCCTTCACGCAGTTTTAAAACCTGGGATAACTTGGATCTGACAGTCAGAGGCACTGAGCAACCACAAATCCAAATGAAATCAATGGGAGTTGAAGATGCTCGTCACCTCTAAAATATTAGGTCCAATGCATCTCAAGTTGGGAACCCATAAACTGAGGCACATAATGTCTGAGTGTCTAATGACTATTTCTGAAAAGGTTGTCCTTAACATTAAGGTTTCATATGCCATCTTGAGCACTACCAATTTTCAAAGAACAATTCTGAAAATATAAAAAGTTTCTAAAGGAACCACAGGTGACTCACTCAGTATACTTATTCCAAATGGTAGCTTCAGTCACTCTGCCTGTAGATAGGAATCTGGGGGTTTTGCACTGAGATATTTTGCAAGATCTGCCTGCAAATCCCTAATTTTTAATCTGTGGGATCCTAATTCTGCACTGATTACCCACTCCCTCTCTTCAACACTGCACCTACTATCCATCTATGCAGCCCATTGTGAGTATCTGAAGTGGGCTCCCCTCCTCCCACAAATGAAAAGAAGTTTCATTTGCTTTGCCCACTAACACTTACTGTCAGTTTCTCAGCCTCCATATGGTCTGTGCTCCATATGAGCTTCACAAATATTACAGCCTCTGCAACATAGCCCCACCAAGATAAGGTCTCCCCACAAAATTAAGGTGTCAGGCTGTCCTGCAGTGGCTTAAGAGCATGGGTACCAACCTCAGGGCAGACTGTTAGGAAACAGCACAAAACCCAAATTGGTTGAGAGTTCTATACTTAGATTTCACCAACCAATTATCAACTATAAACTCCTCAGGCACTAAAACAGCCTTAACATGGAGTCACAGATAGTCCCCTTGGATACTCCAATCTGTCTTGCCACTCAGGTAGGCTTACCTTTGTGATAGATGGTCCCATACTCTAAAGAACACAGCAACATTCAGATTACTCCCAGTCCCAAAGGTCCACTTACCCCAGGTCAAGTGCACCTTAGATCTCACACCAAAAACAACACTTGTAGTCAATCCTATAATAAACTATCTAAATATTTATTGTGTAAGAAAAAGTTATTTACAAGATTATATACACACACACAAATGAGTTCCAATTGGAAGTTTCAAAAAAAGTTTTTAAAAGAAGCAACCTCTACGTGTCCTTTAGGGCTAACCCAGGCTAAGCACTGGGGATCTTTTGCTTATGCTTCATAATCCTTGCCTCTCATAGTCATAGCAGCATAAAGATATAGTTCCTCCTTGTTAGAGGTTTTAAGCCCTTCCCCTCTTCTGCTTCAAATTGTGAATTCATCTGATGGGAAGAATTCACTTGCACATCTCCTCTTCATGGGGCGGAGGGCGGGAGGGGGCACGAAAGTCCATTTTGATGTTCCACAATAGTTTGTCTGATGTTGCTGGATCTTCCTTGTGAGGCAGGACATAACACTTTGTGTTGGAGGCCAACATTTCACACTAATAAATGTGTCTCCTCTGTCTGGTGATTTAAGCCATGTCTACATTATAAAATGAAGTCAACCTAGCTTACATCGGCATACAGCCACGGCAGAAATTACATCACTTGTGCTTGCCTATGCTTTGCTCCTTGTATCAGTAGTGTGTGTCCTCACCAGGAGCACTTGTATCAATTGTACTGCCAGTGTGGGGCACTGTGGGACAGCTCCAGAAAGCCAGTAACAATCGACATAAGCAATGCAGTGTCTACACTGATATTGTGTTGACCTAACATCATCGACCTTGGCTCTATGCCACCCGTGGAGGTGGAGTTATTAAGTCAGCGTAGGGAGGCAGTTACATTGGCAGGAGTGAAATTTAAGTGTAGACACTTCCATAATTAGGTTGATGTAAGCTACCTTGCATCGACCTAACTCTGTAGTGTAGACCAGACCTTACACAGTTATACAGCCTTACAATGCAAATGCTCAAATATTACCTTAAAATAAGGGATACAGATGTTCTAAGAGATTAATGCATGCAGCAATTTACAAGCATTCAATAAATAAACATTCAGCACATTTTTATAACTCTAATATCTATTTTAACAATACTAACACACAGGTGCACAAGACTGATTCCAGCTATGTATTTGACAATATCCAAGTAAGGCATAGGGCCCTTGGCATGAGTTGGCACCTAGTTTTCCAGAATCACATAAGAATTGGAAGCAACTCAAAACATCCATCAACACACACACACTTCAGTGAGTTAAATACATGGGTAATTAGTAGTGCTGCAAATTTGTCACAGTATTTTTTTAAAAAGAAATCACAAATCACAAAGCAGTCACAATAAATCTAGGAAAAGTAACAGGTTTACTGCTTCATAATTTTTTATAAAAAAATGCCATGACACATGAAATTCAACTATAGGTCTTAAAGTCAACTATAGGTCAGTGTCCTCTCACCACAGCCAAAGGGGCAGCAACCAGCTGCAGTAACACCCTCTGCCCCAGCACCACAACCCTAATCCCTGGCCAGGGAAATGAGGAGGCCCCCATGTGGCCACAGTGCTGGAAAGCGAGCCCACCCTCCATTCACCCCCTTGTGGTGGCTCCTGTGTCCCACGGGGCTCGGCCCAGAGATTGAGAGCAAGCTCCTCACACAAACACTCACCCCAGGCATTGTGATCTGGCACACAGGGTTGCAATGCCATTCAGGTTTGGCCCACTGTGATGGTTCTTGGGTCATTTTGTTTCCTCATGCTTGAAGCATGAGGAAGTCTTGCCTGTGCCTGACTGGGTGTCTGTGCCCTATCACCACCAGCCTTTCAGGCACTCTCCTCTGGGTTATACCAGCCCTGTCTTTGTCTTGAGATGCAACCCTGTCAAGAGATGCAACCCTGTCACCGAGTCCCTTTGAATCATTCCTCTGGGATATCTAGCCCCTAACACTGGATACTCACAGAAATCCTAGATCCTCTGTCCCCAGAGGAAAGTGTGCCCCAGCTTACTAGTTTTACCTTAAACCCCCTGCTCTTGTGTAACACATAGCACTTGCAATAAAACAAAAGAAAAATCAGAGATTCTACAAAAACAGGAAGGTGTGGTAGAAACAAATGGCTAAAATACACAACAAAACGATAAAATGTAAACCTGTCTCTATACTTATTAATAAGTACCCTTCCTATCTATTAAAGTAGGTTTTCCCCCAAAATTCAGTATGCTGCAGAGCTGGCTGGCTTCACAGGAATCAGGATCCAATTTTTCATTAGAACACCCCTGCTCCTCAGGATGTCTCCTCAATAAAAAAGATGCAGTGGGTCTTTCCCCAGCTTATGTTTTAATGAAACAGTCTTTTGTTGCTGTTCATAGACAGGGCAAACCCCTGTCTTGTTGTAATGTTCCTTTTTTTCTTTTTTTTTTTTCCTTCAAGAGATTTTGATTGTTTGCAATAATCTCTGATGGTTTTCCAATGAACTTCTTAGGATTGGGTAAAAGGCTAAGCAATTGAGCCATGCATTGCACCACCAGCTGAACAGAGCAGGATGACAATTCCTTCCTGCCTGAATGAACCATCACTGAGACATATTATCCACTAGTGACTAGGAGTTATTCCAAATCCATAAAGCATACTTTCAATGTAAATACAAAGTATCAGAGGGGTAGCTGTGTTAGTCTGTATCCACAAAAACAAGGAGGTGTCCGGTGACACCTTAAAGACTAACATTTATTTGGGCATAAGCTTTCATGGGTAAAAAACCCACTTCTTCAGATGCATGGTTTTTTACCCACGAAAGCTTGTGCTTTAAATCTGTTAGTCTTTAAGGTGCCACTGGACTCCTCGTTTTTTTTAATATAAATACATTATTCCTTATATATTACCCCATATATACACCTCATAACGATTATGAATCTTGACAAGTTATAAGTTTTCTCGTAGGTATCTTACTTGTTACTCTTTATGGATAAATATCCTGTAAGACATGTTTGGTGTAATGAGTTTGTCAAGTCTAAGTAAGAGTTATTTGCAAAGAACAAGGGACCTTTCTCCTAGGAGCTTCTGTGTCACACTTTCCTACTCCTTTGTCAGGCCAAATCTGAGAGGCACTGCAACCCCATGTACCAAGTTTTAAGGCCCAAGTCCTGCAGGGTACAGGGTACACTGCTGCAGGGGGAGTGCACAGCAGGCTCACACTCCAAACAGCCCCCCTGGGATCTGCCCTCCACACAGGGCTGGTGGCCCACCTGGAGCCTTCACACACAAATAGAAATATCATGGTATCCATGACATTTTCTCCACCGTGATAAACCTAATTAGGCATAAGACCATATCCTTAACCGCTGGTAAGTCAGCACACAAAGAGGAATGAAAGATGCCTTTGAGGCAATAGACAAGCATTTCCGTAATGGCAGAATCTTGAGCAGGCACAGGTCATTATTTTCTGGTGCAAAAGAGGACTAGTGACCAATTTTGCCCCAGCATTCCCTAGAAGTAGGAGACATAAAGGTGGTATACAGTCAGAAAG